TGGCTGTCACGATCTCATGCTGTCTAGAGCAGAGCAGGAGACTCCCCTGGCTTACCCACATGCCCACGGAATTAAATTCTGGCTCTATATATAGCTTGTGTCATATGCAAGGAGCTGCGGGTTGTGCAGACACCCACACTGCACTCACCAGGGTTATTTTTAGCATTGGTGACAAGGTAACCTGGAGGATTCCTGCCAAATGAGGAAGGCATGCAGTAAATCGTACACAGCTAATTAGCGGTGACAGCCGAGCTTTTCTCTGCTCCTGCCTTTCTGTCTCTGACACAAATCTGTGTCATGTCTTCCCAGCCAGTCTGAAATTATGATCTAAATCAGGACGGTTCCCTAATTTCTACTTCAGCCAGAGCACAGCCAGAGCTGCATCAAAAAAGCCCCAAAACTCAATAATCTCTAGGTAAATTTAGGGCAATCTCTAAACTGGGCTCAGTTCAGCACCCGCTCAACACTTTTCTGCATTAGGGCTATTAACATATTGTACCTCACTCTCCTTTTGACCAAATCAAGTAAAGTATGCCCCCAAATCCTGTAAATTCAGCCCGCTTTCCCAGTGGATGCCTCTGGAGGGCTGATTCCTTTCCAGTCAGCAGAGCTGCTCTGAGCCATTCCCATGAGGAAACAGTGCTGGATGTGTTGTTCTTAGGAAACAGGACACAATAGGTAAAATTTTCCTTTATGACTGCTCTGTGTTGAACCGTCACACTTTATGCTTTCAGGCTGCGAATCTGAAGTGCTGTTTTCTTGGTGTTCTGCCTTCAGCAGCGCTGTGAACTTCACGCTTTGTTACGTGAGGCTGAGCTGCAAACCTGAGCCTAATCTGGCTATGCATTTTGCTACCTCTGCACTTTCTGGGAAGTCAACTTGCAAATGCCTTTCTGAGAACCTCAGGGCAGCACTAGAACTGCAGATACCCAGATGTGGTAAATCTGAATAAAGATACCTTCTTTGCCAATTTACATGGACAAGAAATCTTGCCCCAGCATGATCTGCTTCCCCAGGCCAGGATTTCCAAAGTGGTTTAGATGAGTTTTAGGTTCACAAAGCTGTCACTCTTCCTGTGTGACTCCTTTTATGCCCACACTTCTGCATATGAATTCCCATCTCCATAATCTTCTAAGTGCTGCTTAATGTTTCATGTCTACTTATGCAAATATCCAAGGAGGTGACACAGAACATGAAGTGAAAATTACAAGTACAATCTTTTCCGAGAATTCATGTTTTTGTTGAAACATTAAGTAATAATGGAGAGTCTTTAACTGTGGTTATACAAAGCGTGCCTGAGAAGCACCAGCCACCCAGGCAGCTCAAACATTAACTTCCCAAGCAGTCAGATATCAAATTTAATTAAACAACCCTTTCCTACATCACTTTTCAGCTGAGCAACTATTTTACTTCTCCAAATTTCAGCTAAAACTCCTTCTAGAACAAAGTGGGTCTGTAAGACAGAAAGCAGCTCTTGCAAATAATCGTACTTGCAAATGTCTTCTCTGCCTCTTGACACAAAGAGCTCTCAATTCATTGAATTCCATGGAGGGCTTATTATCTGTGCTGTGAACCCATAATAATTGGAAACGAGACCTGTTGGGAGCCTGGAATATCAAAATCTCTGTTGTCTAATGCACAGTAGAATATTGCAAGCACATATTGTGGCCATGGGCACTGGGATGCATGAATTAATAACAGAAAACATGACTGGAAAGGGAAATACGGGGAAGATGGAACACTACCGGTTTGGATGGAGGAAGAGGGAGATGTCTGTGTTTCCACGGCAACAAGTGATAATTTGGCTTGGAAGCACAGAAGATGGGAAATACATGATGGGAAAGTGAAGAAAAATAAGTATTCGTTTTGGTTGTGCAAACACTCATGAGCATGACAGCACAGAGTTGGCTTTATTGCCAGATTCACAACTACCCCCAAATGTATTTCAACTAGAACCATTTAGAAAAAATACAGTGGTTTTGATAAAATGCTTTTCTTCTCTCTCCCTATTTTTTACGTTACTTAGATGCCATTATTGATGTGTTTTGTACATTACATACATCAGCATAGCTTTCTTTCTAGACTACAGAGCTAGGTTGTGTTAGCTGTGAAACAAGCAATTTTCCAGGCAGCTATAAACTTTCAAATCCCTACAAATGTGCTGTAAAATATTGATCTTGAAAACAACTGCCTGTTTACTTGCTATTCTGATGCAGTCAGCAATTGAATAACAACTCTCTAATTTGCTTGTACATTATTCTCTTGTGCAGAAGGACAGGTGATACAGCCTGATGGTATATCTAGATTCATAGCTGAGCAGGCAAGTCCCATTGCAATTATCAAAATGTTACCAGTACAGAAGTAATATGCTCTAATCTGCACAGGAAATGGCAAGATTGTACAGCAAGCATTCATGCCTATTGGACCCCAATTGCCTGATAGTACCTCATACTTGAGCACTTAGCAGTATGCTGTAAACTTCCAAGCTGTCACACCTACAGAGAGATTCAGCTGCATAAGTATCATTAAATGAATGAATGTGAAGACCTCAAAAGCTCATCCAAGATTCTTATTCTTCTTCCCAGTGTGGTTGCGTTTCCATGCTGCTGTCAGGTTGTGCTCTGAGAGGGGACTCTGGAGTGGTCTGTGCTGTAGGGAGTGAGAACTAGTCAGAAACTCCAGAAGGATGAGTCGAGGGCTTTGACTCCTCTGCCTTTGCCAGCACCAACTTTTAGGTTTGGGATTTTATTTTTCATTTTTTAAAACATTCCTTGGTTTTCTTGGTGTAAATACTGCTTTTGTGCATCCGTCACCTGAGCTTGTTTGTATATTCCCATTCTATTCTGAGGGATGAGTTAAGAGCGAGCTGAGCTCTGCCAGTGCACATATGTGCTGGAAGTTGTGTGGGAGGTTGCTTCCAAACTGTTTTGCCATTCCTGGCTATTCCAGCAATCTCTGCACCGTCTGTTTTCCAAGATGCGCTGAACCTGACACGTTCCAGGAGGAAGCATCTAAAAGAAAGACTGTCTTCCAGCACTTGGAACAAAGCTGGCTTTTAGCCATCCTCTACACATAACCATTGAGACTAATAGCCTGCACCACAGATTGCTTTGTGAGATCATAAGAGACAATATGGGGACTATCTTTACTGCCTTTACATTTCCTAGCGTCTAGTCATGACCAGTCCTTTTCTTTACCAGCAGAGCAGTTTTCTTTTTAAGTCCTTGTACTGATAGTTGAGTTATGACTCCTTTAAAATAATTCTCCGGGCTTATTAGGAAGTAAAATGGCAAATGAAATGAAAAAGATAAAACCTGCAGTTATGCCACCTCAAGCTGCAATTCCATCAGACCTTTCAGATCAGAAGTCAGGTGGTGTTGAAGAGAGAGGTGACCTTCCAGGCATTTCAGCAGGATGAGGTGTGGCTGCCGATGAGATAATCTTATCCCTCTGAATACAGGTGGTGGTTCAGCTTGTTTTTAAAGGATGCAGTGGGATGGCAACCTTTTTGTTGGTGTATTTTAGAGCAGTAAAATTAGGCACCTGATCTATGAAAACATTTCTTTTTGTCGGGCCAAAATACTAGACTTAACAGTATCAAAGTGCAACTTGAAATATTTCCCTGAAATGAATACATAAGGTCTACTTTCTCTCCTGAAATAATGGCTATTAAGGCACATCTGTGGCTTACTCTGGCTGTATCTCTTAGAATTTGTTGTAAACTGTAACATGGGATTTTCTGCTTGCATAGGATGTATGTATTTTTTGTACAGGAGCCGTCATTTGCTGTCTTGCACAGTCACATTCCTTTGGGTGTAAGGTGCTGCCATGAAACAAAGAATAAACAGTAGTTCCTAGGAGTCTGGAAGAAGGTGACTGCTGCATCCAACACTGCAGGGGCATCAGGACATTTCCCTTAATCTCATCTATGTTCATTCAGCATCTCATTTCTTAGCAAGTGTGGTGGTGGCAGGGGTGTTTCCTCCCAAAAGCGCTGGTCTGTTAGGACTTGTGTTTTTGATCCATATGTGTCTCTCATTCACTGTCCCCTGAGGTAAAGTTTAATCAAATGCATACACATGAATGAGCTAGCCTTAAATATCAATAAATGTTTCTTTCAGGAAAGACTTGAAATATTTAATAAGCTTTGGAAATGAGCTTCTGTTAGTGTTTCTCAGTTTGATTTGGCAGCAAGCAGTGCTTGCTGTCCCAGTGTGGGCAGGCACAGCACACATTATTTAGCAATCTACTTTGTCTCATCTAAAAAATTCATGCTTCCATATACCCAAATGTAGCTTTTAGGGGAAAAACAAAAACCAAAAAACCAACTGCACACACACACACACAGAAAAACAAATGATGCAGTCCCATAGTTACCTTCATTCTTTGCTTTAGGCTACACGCCACAGTTACGCTGTTTCTCACCCAGCTCTACACTGTTGCCCTGGTTACTGATCAAAACCAGACCATTCCTGCCATCCCTGCAGCAGGACTTGCACAAACGCGTTACCCATGTGTCAGCAATGCTGCTGAAGCTGCTCCTCCCTTAAAACAGAAACACAGCCACCAACGCATGCAGGAGCTTCCCCTTCTTTGAGCATGCAGTTATAGCAATGGCCCTTCGCCTTAAATTCAGCTAGTGCTGGCCAGGCCAGATCAGATCAATATGTAATCAGATTACTGTTGTTACATTAAAGCACTAGCCTTCTTAGAGGACTTCAAAATCTTAATCACATCTGTGGAACCACAGGTAGATTTGGAGGTTTATAACTTCCATTTACGCATGTCTTGTTTTCCACTGAAATCAAGGGAATCCTGACTGAAGAGGCAGTTAAGATTTTTTCATGTGCCTGACTGACAGCTGAAAATGTGATGTGTTAGATTTTGTGTTATTCACTGCTGGAAATGTACTCAGGGGTGGGTGACAATTTCTCATCTGACGGTACTAAGAAGGCACTTCATTGAAAAGGGAGATTCCCCCCTATACTCAAATAACTTACTTTGAGAGCTTCATTTCAATTTGCTGCCGGATTTCCTGTCTTTCCTCATCTGTCCTCCTTGGGAAAATATTCCTGTCTTCCAGCTCCTGCTTGCTTGGTCTGTTTCGTAGTTTTACTGCCAACAGTTCTTTCTTGCATTTTCTTGGCAAAGTACCTGGGATATGGATTGTAAAGAAAGGCATTAGAGACAGTTCCTGGAGATGAAAAGTGAACATGTAAAGAGTGGGAAACTGTGCAGAGAGATGGTGACTTGTAAGTTAGTGTGCAGTGAGCAGTAACACACAATCATATAAGCAGTGATACAACTGTGCTTGTGATTAGGGCTCTGACAATAAACTGCTTACAAATGCAGAAGGGTTGTAGTCCTCTGTTGTCTTTACTGGCCTTCATAAGAAAGCAGTGGTTTCAGGAGAAAATTATTTGCAGCTGAGATATGACTTACACCTTTAGTTCAGAAATCAAAGGCTGTGCATCTTGTCTCAGACCTCTGAGCATCCCTATAGCTGAGAGCAAACCCTGTGCCACGAATCATTTAGTGGTTCCTTTGCGGAAAGATGGGATGGCTCAACAACAGGTGGCCAGAATATGTGCATCTTCCCCTCTGGGTGACCAGGCATAAACAAGCAATAGGAAATGGTAACTGAGACAGTCAGAGTTGGTCACTCTATTTTTATTTTACATCTAATTATGGCTTTTTAATGTCATTGTTCTTTCAGACATAGAAAACCAAAACTGTGTTAGCAGACACTAACACTGTGTATAGCATTGCATGTAAGCCATTACATGTATCTGCATGCTGTCCAAGGTGACAATGCATCATAACAGAATTGCAAATCAATAGTATACTCTTCACTTTAGGCTTTTTCTTCTGAAGAGAGCAGGGGAAAATATTCCAAAGAATGAAAGAAAATAATATTTTGTGGCACTTTTCAGAATGTTAGCAAGTTAATTGGGCAACACAGGGCATAGATACTTATTGTGATTGCATGTCCTGTTCTGCTTACTGTTAAATGTACTAACACGTGTTTTCTATCAAAAAAAGATGATCTACAGTATTGCCATTACAAAAGAGCTCTTCAAGGAAGACATGCAGAACCTGTTTTCATGAGTTTACTGCTCTTAATGTGCAGAATGTTTGGTCCTTGATGCTGTCCTGCTGGTGACATTTGAAGCACTCTTTCACTGGAAGGAATCGCCTGAGCTTTGGTGTATCCATATTTCTTGTTGTAGCTCTTCAGGCTTAAGCAGGCTAAGCAAGTGAAAACTGGACCACTGAGCTTATACAACCATTTTGCCGTGTGTTTGGAAAGGTATACCACAAAAAGACTGTGAACTCTAACTGCTTACAAAGAAATCAGTCTTCATTCTCAAATGCAGATTAGAAGCCTGAAGTGAAGTCTCTATCTGCTGAGGAGTGGATTGCTTATGGTGTGCAGAGAGGAAAATGGAAGTGCTATTAAAGCTCAGTGAGGTGCTGAGTCACCCTGGAAGGACTGCAGTCTTCTAGTAATTAATTACAGGTACATTGCAGCAAGTAAATTTACACCAGAGTCCTATATGCCTCTGCTGTGCTGTCCTGGCCATTCTATGGTCCAGTCCAGGACTTCAGCAGTCAGAAAATTCTCAGTGCAGAGTAGCACCAGTCAGATGGATGTTGCCAGAGTACTCAGGAGCTGCAGTTAAACCATCAATCTGCTTGATCTTGGGAGCATGGTGTGCAATAGCTGTTTTTTGGTTTGGTACCTTTTTACTTTAACAGTGGTTGTGTTTTGTGGCCCTTTAAAAAAAAAAAAAAAAAAAAGGTTTCACCTTTTCTAAGAAAGGTCATCTCACTTATAAAGAAAATGACATTTAATTGGTATTTTTATTTGGCATTTGAGATAGGATTAAAGTCTGCTTCAAAAGGGATGCTCTGGAGGATGGCAAGATACTAAATCCTAAATAGATTCTCATTTTCAAATATTGGCAGTTTATTTGCCCAAGATCTGGGGGACTACATTATTATTATTGTCACTATTGATCTTGAATTTCTTCATGCAGGGAGGAAAAATCTATAGCACATCCACATATGCATCTTGGGAAAAGTGGGGCAGACAGTAGGTATGGAATCCCTGGGTAAGAAGGGGCAAGTCTCTAAATAGTTGCAATGACCTAAAATGAATGAGTTCAAAACCCTGACTGGAATCTGAAAGCTGTGCCCTTGTTTAGCACCTTCCTCTTAATGCTTTCGAAGTCTGTTGCCAGCTTTAATTAAATTAAACCATACAGCCCTCTGTGAAGAATTAGGTATGTGTTTAACAGATGGGTAAAAGAAGTTAAATTATTTGGCTGTTGCACACAGAGCATTCTGCTAAATGAGTATGTCTCCATCAGAAACACTTGGATTACTAAGCCACAGGCCTGGGACTCAGTCAAGCTTTTTTAAGCCTTCACCTCAATGGGAGTGGATGAAAAATGGGTGTTAGCAGTGCTCAACCCAAGCAGCACATGAAGGAACAGTTTCCCATTTATCCCTGAACGCGCTCTCATTTTCACCTGAAAGTTTTAAACAGGCACTGAGGGGAATTTGGTCATGCCAGGAGGTTGCTGCAGAGAGACTGCACATGCACACTAAGCCCAGTGTCTCTTGAACACGACAGACATGCTGCCCATGTGCTGGCCATCTGTGTGGTGGATTTACAGGCAGTTCAGTGCATTTTGTGTGCACTGAAAGCAAGATATGTATACACCATGCAGCACATGTGGATTTCTCTGTCCAGAACTCTATAGAAGAAAACAAGGGAGCTGTACATGTGCACACAACACTTTTTCTATATGTTTTTTAAATTGTAGAGGTGTGCTCTAAGTGGTTATTCTCCTATTTATCAGTGACAGCTAAGGTATAAGCATGCAGAACTATTCCTGCTCTCACCAGGATGCTCTAAAACTACCTGCTATGTCATGCTATATCTCATGTTTGGATTATGGGAGAACAAGAGCTAGAATCACGGTGATTATTTGCTCAGACAAAGTCAGGGTTGTTTTCTGCTGCCCTCATCCATTTGAAAGTCAGCTGAAACTTATGCTGTGCAGGTAGAAGACTGCATGCACCTTTTTGCAAGAAGTCAGTTTTTGAAGCTGAAGTGCAGACACTGAATTAAGCTATCTCAGTATGTTCTCTAGAAGCTTGTATTTTCAAAGTGAGGTGGAACAATGCAATACATTGAGACAAAGTAAAATGCAGCTGCTCTTCTGAGCTCTGACCACTCCCAGACTACTCTTCTGCAGACTTCAAAAGTCTACTACTCTATGAAATTAAAAACACAAATCATAACTGAAAAATCTCAACTTTAACCCAAATCCCTCTGCAGTATTAAAGGAGTAGAGAGCATACAACCCACACAGGATAAGCTGTGCTCACTTCATCCAGATGTTAGGATTTCTAAAAGGCTTATGCTATAGCCACTCCCATGGTCCATATGCACTATGCACTCATTAATCTTTAGGGTATTTTACCAAATAAAAATGCAAGAGAGCTGGATTAAGCTGATCTCATAGTCCGAAGAGCTGCTTCCCATGCCTGACCAATTGGGTTAATTCCTGAAAAATAATACCTGCCAGACAAAATGAAAGGAGGGAGATGGTGTTACCCCCTTCAGGTACATCAGCAGGGTCTGTTCTCACCTTGACTGGCCCGCTGGTGGCCAGTTCTGTTATTTCACCTCCTGCAGAAATCCATTTTTGATGCTTCAGAATTGAACCAAATAAACCAAATCAAACAAACAAATAATAATTAAAAAAAAAAAAAGGGGGGGGGAGAGAACAAAGGAAACAAAGCCCCAGTTTTCCCCATATCCATTGTCAACACCTTGAGACAAAATCCTTCCTAATCACTATCTCAGTGGAAATTGAAAATGCAAATATCTTCATCTATTTTCTTCCTAAGGATTAATTTCTCCTTGTCAGTATTATGTGTTCAATGCCAGTGTGTCCCATGACCGAGGCCAAATCTTGGTTATGCCTTGTTTCACAATTTATGGCAGCTCAGCTAGGACAACAAATGTTTTGAGAACTCATACCTTTTTCATGCTTGGTCTCTGCAGGTTCCTAACAAAAGTTCCTGTTTTAACTCAATTGAATCCTGACATTTATTTTCTTGTATGTTTACTGTTCATTCTATCAAGCAAAAGGCAAATCCAAATACTGCACACTAATGCAAGGACCTTGCTTGCATCTGTTATCAGTTCAAAGCTACATGCAGGGTGGCAATGACTAATTTGGTGATGTGAAAACACAGTATAGTAATCATAAAGTAACTCTGGATTAACTGATAATTTATATCCTGATTTTCAAACCTGCCCAGATTTTTAAAACTAGAAAGAACCTTTACTTTTAGTGAATTATTCTGGTGTTATTCCTGCCACTTCTGCATCTCTCATTCTCTCTAAAATGCAAATAGAGGCATTTGAATGAATGCTGACAGAAGCAGTGCCATTCAGTGTCAAGACCAGAAATGCCTTGCTTACATTCCAGCTTGCACCATATGAATGGGCAGCATCATATCTCTGAAGCTGCTTTCTTCTGGGTCATATAAGCACTCCACAGTAGGAATCCACAGTCTTAGCCACTGTGTTGCCTAGCTTGCCAAGTATTCATCCATTGCAGCCACCTCAGACACTTTGCAGCTGGAACCCTGTATGATTTGGATTTATGTTATAACTTTGGATTTGTGTTGTGCCACCACACAGAATAATTTATAGTGCTCAGTATTTTCTGTTGTTCTATAGAACATTACGTTAGGCTTCAATAGTATACAATGAAATAAGTGACTTTCCTTACCAGAAATAATGGAGTCATTCAAAACTTCCTCATCCTGATAAAAAACAGAGTCTTCCTTTAGCTCTGAGTTCATTATCATGTTTTCTTTGTTCTCATCTGACTCTTTAACTGAATTCCTCTTATTTTCTGTATCACTGCTGTAATTCAGGGAGTTCTCCTTTTCTTTGTTGCGCTCAATGCTAGACGTTCTGGATGGACGGACATCCACTCTTTTTTTTGGAGAGCCTTTGCTTTCTCTTCCATGGAAGCTGTGGGTGGAAGGTCGAGCCCAGTTTTTACAAAACACTGTTTTAGTGCCACAGTAGGAACTTATCACTATATGAAAATGAGTGGCATGGCCTGTAGCTCATAAAAGCCAGGACAGAGAGTTCAGTATGGGAGAACAGGGGATGGCATCCTCAAGACTGCTGACAATAATGAGCACAGAGATCTAGGTTTGTCATAAGGTACAGAAGGGTAATAATAAGGTACAGAGACTAATGTATTTGTTTGATATATAATCACGTGCTGTGCTGTACTGATTAAAGGAAAACACACAGGTGCATACCCCTAACATAAAACACACATGACACGAAGTATTCTCTTCCTGATATTTTCTGATCATGACAAAGGGCATGGAAATAATACTGAATGAATCTCTTCTCCACAACAGTAGCTGTTATGGAGCTGAGAAATGTTACTAACTTCACTGGTTATTTCTGTCTTTCTCTAATACAGAGGAGGGTTCATAATGAAAACCAGATAAAGTACCCAACGTACACCCACAAAAGCATTTGTATTAGAAAATGTATACTCTATATGCTCATGTATAAGCCAAGAGACATACTGAAATAGTAACATTTCTCAGATATATTTACAGGACAGTTTGCCTTAGTTACTCTACCTTGATATGTTTGGAAGAGTTTCTTTTGCAGTGGGCCAAAGATTATTAACTCTTTCTACCTGCTTGAAAACCTACCATGTTCAAAGCAGTGACCTCAAGAAGATGAAGGCGAGCTGCAGAAGTGGTTAAAATGCTAAAAAACAGGATAAGGGTGTTTACCAAGAGAAATGATTTAGTGGAATGACTCCTCATGCACCCATGTAGCCAAGAGGCTGCAGGTACCTGTCCTGCCGGTGTTTGGTGGCCAGAGCCCTGTGGAGTTCTTCAATGACTCTGCTGGGAGGTAAAGGCAGGTGGACAGCAGCCAGGTGAGGGGAGCCAGTCGGCGTTGTTACCTGTCCTCTGACGTGCGACTCGGAGCTTTTCTGGCCAGAGGAATGGAAGAGGCCAGATTGTCCTGAGATTTGAGAGGAGCCAACAACTACATAATTCTTCAGGATAGTGGAAGGAGGAGACTTCATGGCTGGGTCATCTGTGTCGCTTCCTGCTGTCAAAATACAGGAGGGTAAAAGGTCATGCAATACTTGGATTTTTGTGCAAAGAGCCTGCACTGAAATTAATCTGATAGAAGAAAATAGTGATGTTTGGTTCTTGCTAAGAGGTAACTGGTTAAGCTGAGTAGCCATCTGAATTCAGAAGGCTCATGCTATGCAGGTCTGCATCTTTGATGTAGCAAAATAGATGCTTACCCCACATCCCTTTTCTCCCACACAGTCATATTCTCCTTTTCCCAGCCCAGTGCAATCTTGATGGTCAGTGCTGTTCTTGCTAGCTACTGATGTCCTGTACTGTGGTGGCTTTCCATTCTAGCACTTTCTCTGCTGGACTCTGGCAGATTATATTAAAATTTATGCGCTGCGGTTGACAGTCAGGACAAAATGTACCAGTGTCTATTGTCTGCTCTTCTGTGATGACTGCACTGATCAGACCCCTGTCTTTCATATGCCAGTTGAGGAAATGCCAAAATTATTGTAATGTAACATTCACATAACAAAACTTGCCAAATGAAATCCAAATGAAAGATGTGGTATTGAGCACCAAGAAATGAATAAGAAGAAAAGGACAAGCTAACATGTTTGTTTGTTTTACATCTCAATTCAGATTTTTTTTTTTTAATCTTGTATAAGCATTTTACTGGAAGCTAGATTTTGATGCATAAATTCTCTAGCACCTGAGTCCAAAACACAGCAGATGTTTCCCTAGTTGTAAGTTTGGTAGTTTTGCATTCTTGAGATACTTGAACACTTAGGCTGAAAAGATGCTGATTAGTTTTTCTGTTTTGCAGTTGTCTTTTCCTTTCCCTTTTTTCCACATAGCTCAGTCCCAAACTTCCTGGCATATGGTGGTGGTTATTGCAACAGTTCGGTCTGGTTGCAAAAAGGCAACCTGACATCTTCGTGCGAAAGGACTTTGCTTTTCTCTTGTTGCCATCTAGTGTTGTAGACAGGAATTTAAACTGACACAGCTTATACAGGTATTGTACGAATTTGTTTTCACAGAACATGTTTACTGTTTTTGAGGTAGGAGAGCAGAATTAATGAGGGCAACAGTAAAACCACTTTGGGTTGGGAAGGAGAGCTCCTGTATCCACAACCAAATTCAAACGTCAACTTTGAGAGCATAAGAATAATAAGCCCAGTCTCTTCTTCACATTTAAAGGGTAGACAAGAGAGCAAGATTTTACCATTGCTGCCAATCTGCTTTCATATTCTAAGAGAGGTCTAAATCATTTTTTGATTTTAAGAAGGCATTTTTGCACATTTCTCTCCGTCTGACCCAGAACTCTTATCAGTGCCCAGAGTTGTTGAATCTATCTCTTTATACCTCCAGGAGGCAGAGGTCAAGCTGATCTAAAAACTACACTATCAAAAATCTGAAAATGTCTGAAAGCACAGGAGCATTTCTTCAAGTCTCTAGGCATCCGATGTGCAGAGCCTTGGCAATGAGGTGCCTTCCTAGCCTGGAGCTGATCAGGACATTCTGCACCCACAAGACAGCCGCCTTCTGCTAAGCAAAGATGTTTGTTCGGCATTCAAGTAGCAATTCTGATCATGTGCTCCTGTGGAAATACTTCTGAATTCATTTTCCACCTCTGCTCAATGGGAGAGGGTTGCTGCGTTTTCTCAGAGCTAGAACCCTGCATTCAGCTCAACCCCAAAGCAGGAAGAGAGGACACTTTGCTTTATCTTCATATTTGCTTGTTTCTGAAATGGGCCAGCAGCCAATTTTGTCCTCATTGCAGCTTGGGCCAATATTGCGTTTCCTTAAATCACACCTTATTCAATCTAATAACAGCTGTTCAGTGAATAATCTTGCAAAGTGATGTCTTGGCACCTTGCCCTGTTCCCCCTCTCTGTGTGATTAATTGGTGCTTGGCTCATTCCTCACTCCTTTGCTAACAACATCTCCAGCATTGTTAAATGGGAAAAAAACAAACACAAAAGAGCTTTTCAACCTCTTTGTTCCTTTTCTTTTTTAATAGCTCTTTGTTTGTCTCTCCCCATACATTTGTATCCCCTTTCACTCACTGACAGTATTTGTTTAGTTTTAACTTGCCACTGCCTCCACTTGCAAACAAAAATAAACAAATGTATAATGACCATTGGATAAAGGTCCATAGTTACTGCAGTCATTGAGAAAACCAAGAGTTGTTCTTTGTGGAATATTTAGGTGAAAATTAAATGGCAAAACTCAAAATATCCCAGATGTTAGAGGAAATACTTAGGTTAAGCAGCAAAATATCTAAACTCAAAGTGCTGTTAAGTGTATAGTGGGTCCATAACCTTGTTACTCTCCAAAAGTTAGGTTTTCCAAATGGCCTAAATCCAACACAGAATGTCTCTCTTATCAGTTGAGCAGTGACAAAGGGGAGTCCTGGTTTGTCTAGTTTATATTGCAAGGTGGAAGAGGAAAGCTAGAGCTTGACCTATAGCAGAGAATGGTGAGAGAATCTGAACAATAGCTCCAAGAAGCATCTTGAATCTAGGTCACACTTAAACTCTTATGGCCTTTAGGTGTGGACGAAATATGAACATTTTTCATTGGAAACAAATACTTGTGATTTTCCTCAAAAAGACAGAAAACCCCCCGTGTTTTCTGTGAGTTCCAGTAGTCTGATCAGTGTCTCTCTGATATTTTGTTTCCTGGTGACTTTGAAAACCCTGTTCTTTGTGTCAGTGGGGATGCAAATCAGGGCTGAGATAATGGCTGTCATTTAAAAGTCTAAATACCCAACAGGTCTGGCATTTAGATGTCAAGACTTGATTCTAATTTGCAGTAAGGCCCTTTTAACTGCCTTTACCATATGTAGGGGTCCCTAAAATTGGAAGAAACTAAAATCATATTCACTTTAACACCCCTTCTGTAGTGCCAGAATGTTGGAAAATGTAGTAACATTGGCAATACATTAGAAAATCAGGCCCAGAGGAACTGCTGTTGAAACATTCACTGAAGTCTGGCATGGAGTATTGCGTTGTGGGAGCCAGGTATATCACTTCTGTGCATTCTGTGTAATTAGACCAGATTTCATAGCTCTAGTTTAGAACTACCCTAGAGAGCATAACCTTAAGACAGAAACCTCTACAAAGCCTACTGACTTGAACTTTCTTTTGGCTATTTTACTGTTATGCAGCAGGATTCTAGGTTAAAAATAAAGAATAAAAATTAGAATCTTCCTCATGTTTTATGTCACATCAATATGAGCATCTGATTCAGCAGATGATTACAGTTGGTTTGATATGTTTTACATGTGTTTAGTGCAAAACAAATAATCCACAGATAGATATGTAAAGTACAAAGATCAGTGTGTTTTTATCTGGCATCCAGATTACTCAGTTCAGGGAATTCATTAGCATTCTATTCATTCACTGCAACTAGCCTGATTCACAGTAGCTTGCAAACACAAGCCTTGCAAATGGATGTAAGAAAAAAAAATGGTACTATATAAGTGAACAGTGTATAAGAGATTGGGAAAGTCTGTACTGACTGGCAATGACTGACCTGTGACACTCTTTGTGATTTTGGAGATTGCCTTAGGTGGTGGAGCTGGGAGCAATGGAGGGCTGGGAAGCTGCACTGGATTTCCTTCTGTCGGTTTCTGGGGAGAATCTGTGGTTTCAGGTGCAAGTAAGGCTTGTGGACTGTCTTCAGATGCTGGCAGACTGGCATCTTCCAATTCTTCCTTGGGTGCTGAAGGTTTCTTGGCTAGTAAGAAGATGAGTAAAATTAATGGAAAATGAAGTTAATAATACTGATCAGCCAGGAGACAATGCCAGGAACACTCAGAAGAACAGAACACATGGTACTCAGCTAGAAGCACTTCTTCACTGTGCCAAAAAAAATTGTTCTGTGAAATAGCCAAACAGCTGAGGCAGGTGAAGAATAAAATGTATGAGGATATTGAAGAAATGTTAGTTCTTATGCTCCTGAGAAAAATTTGTGAGCCTCCTTTACTCCCCATTCCTTCCCTAACGCCAATTTTCCTTTTCTCTTCTCAATAACAAAGACAGCAAGGTAAAGCAACTTCTGAGAACTGCAATGGATTTTCTTACAGCAGTGCAGCTGCAGTGTTGTGGTGTTACTGGGTGACTCCTTGTCTGCGCTAGGAATGTGCCAGCAAAGGGCAAGGAGTATTAAACTTGTAATATTGCATGAAAGCTTGTTTTCCAGTTGTTTACAATATATTTTTTTCTTGATTAATACATTACATCAGTCTGCATCTTGCCATCTCTTACTGTACCTGACTCCAGAACTGATGAGTTTTTTCTGAAGATAAAGTTGGCAACCAAGAAGTCTTTCATAAAAAAAGATTTACCAGAGAATCTCAGCAGCTAGCATAGAGCACAGAATGGGTGAAGTATTAAAAAAATGCAGTCACCAAAGCCATAATTTGAGATGGTGAAACAGCATTCATGTCAGGATTGTCCCCTGAAAGATGGCAAAAGCACCTAGCTTTTCCAGTTGGTAGAGCAGTTTGTTAAATTGGCCTGTCTGTGATAAGGGCGCAGGGAAATAGATCCCAAAAGGCATGAAACTGGAGGAGGACGTAGGTGAAATTTTAGTGATTTAGTCTAAAATTAATATCTGATTCCAGCAGTGCTTAGACTTGTGCAATGATCTTTGTATTGGCATACGTGGGGACCCACAGGCAGGTCTGAGCAACTTGGGCAGGTCCCTTCCAAACGATGCATCCTGACACCATGGGCTCAGTAGTAGCCATGAAGGTTGTTTGTCCCAGCCCAGCAGCTAAAGCACTGATCCAAGTGGGGAGATAAGAGTTTCCCCTTAGCATAAGAGCTGTCCAGACTGTTTGGGCTGGAGAAATGGTAAATCCCCAACTTTTAGCAGCCTGGATTGTCTAAACAAAGTACATTTCCCTCCAAAGCATTGTAGACCATCTCCTAAAAACCCAGAGAAGTGGGTACTCACAGCTGCCACATCACAAACTTTTTCTTGGCTTGCTTTTTATGCCTTATTTGGAATACAAGCTCACACTCTCTCTCAGCATCCTGGTATTCAGAGTGCATGGGGAAGCACCAGAACAGTTGGAAACAATAGCATTGGCAAGATAATAGCATTTAATTTGTTGACTAACAGATGAATAAATGTGCCTAGAAGAGGAGGAATGAGTATTTGTCATTCAAGAATGACAGGAAATTAGAATAAATACACAAATGTGACTTGATAGGAAAGCCTCCTTATGTGATAGTTACCAAAATTACTAACTAATTTCCTTTTAAATATATATTTAGAGGGAAATGCTTTGTTCTAGGCTGACATCAGTTTGTATTTTTATTCCTACAAGTATGGAAGACGTGAAATAGGAAAGAAAAATTGAGGAAGAAAGATGTTAGTGGCTTGCCAAGAAAATCAGTCATATTTGGATGCTTTTCCTTGAGTTGAATGGTACTTTCTTCTGGCAGTAATTTCACTCCCTGTAATATGAGAGGATGCTCAGTGCAAGTGCAGTGAGCAGCCACAGTGGGACTATGCAGGTAGGGAAGGTGGACCTGAAAAATGCTCAGCCTCAAACACACCTTCTGAACTTGATTGTGTTCAGAGTAGTATCACAGAAATATCATGTACTGTTGTCTAAAAATCATTTTATGGCCCCAGAAAAGAAAGCTTTGCTTCTGGCTTTTTTTGTTTTTTGTTTTTCTTTCTGTCATTGTTTTTGTTAATAACAGCATGTTTGAGTCAGAGTCTGAAGGCAGACCTGAGTCTTGAGCACACAAACCTATTAACAGATTTCATACTGCAGAGTGAACATTTCCTGCTGAAAATAGTCCAAGGGCTCAAGACTCCTTGGCAGAGTAGATAATTACTTATGGAGAGCCACTGGTCAAAATGCCACCTTGCTACTAGGTAAAAATCTTTCCCTTGAGCTTGTCCCCACACCCACTGGCTGGGTTACGTGGGCAAAGCTGCCCTGCTTCTGCCTAAGGAGTTAATTGTCTGTGTATTAAACAAACATGAGCTCTACAGATGTTTCCTCATAGTCCTGTCCGTGACCTTCATTCCATAACCTGAGGATGAAAAGCTGTCTGTCAGGAAGTCAGTGGAACACCCTGCAGCTGTCCCTCGCCACTCCTGTTTGCCAAAGCACAGTTCCACGAGAAGGACTTGGTTTAGCTTATCTGTACTTGCAGCATTGAGCTGCACTTGTGTTTGCAGGGTGATGACATAGATAGAAGTTGTGCACTGAATGTTGTTCCTCAAGCCAGGACAGACAACTTCAGCCTTGGCAGAGAAGTCTGAGAAATTTTTTTTTGAGAGAAACTTGTTTCATGTTCACAGCAGTCACTGCTAATTCCAAAAGAGCACCATGCCAAGACTGGATTGTCTCATAATCCAACTAATCCCATTATGTGAAGATTTGTGTGGTCCCTCAGTTTGGTAGCAGTCTCAAAATCACTGTTATAAAAAATAACGAGTGCTAACTCAGTATGTGGCTGCTGAGCTGAATGAGGTGTTCTGGCTGTCCACCACACTAACATATTTGACTCCTCATGCAGCTGCTGAGCAGAAATGTCTTTTAATGTCTTATTATATTTTGAAACATTTTTATTCAATACCTGCATCTTCTTTCAGCTCATCCAAATGCAGCTCTTCACTAAGTGAGGTTACATCTGTCGTGGCTGCTGTTGTACTCTCTTGCTGCATCTCTTCAGAGTCGAGTGCCTGGCACACAGGTACACAAGCTGGAGTGTCACTCTGTGTTGCTCTTGTGGCATCATCACCAGTGCAGGCTTTTCCTTCAGTATCTACAACACCAAATCATTTATTCTTAATTAAACGATGAGCAGTGAAAGCTGAACCTCCCTGCTATCCTCTCTAGCAGAGTGAGTCTCAAAGCTGTAGTAATTTCAAAGTAGTCAGGGTCTGAGGTTTCTTTTAGAGAAGCACTTGATTTCTGAAAGTACTGAGCATCTGTAATGTAAAACTCATGGATACCAGCCCATCTGGACACTAACATCCACCCAATTTTCTAGACAAGACATCTTTTTCTGTGCGTGTCCAGCAACCTGGTTAATTAGGCGCTGTGCATATACAGGGAGACCACTGTGCTCTGGAAGCACCTGCTGTGTGGAAGATAAGCATGAACATGGGAGATCAAAGGGCTCTGGAGGGAGGCAATTCCTTCTCTGAGCAGAGCTCACAGTGCAGCATGAGCACAGGTTGCTGTGACATGTCAGGGTCATGCCAGGCTCCATGTGCAGGACACTGCTCTCCAGCTGCCCAGCAGTAATGCTGGCAGGACTGCTAGTATTCTCTACCCAGCTGTAGATTTTGGGCACAGCACTGGATACTCAGCTTCAAAAAGCATGTCTTGTATAATTGAGCTGATCAGGTATTCAAATCCCTCCTCATGCAGACCTAGAAACTGCTCTCTTTGCTTACTCTGAAAGATTTCTGTGCCAGTGATCCCTGCAGCTGTATGCATCTTGATGAGTGAAGCTTTTCTTGTATTCCCCTATTCAAGCAAGATTCCTCAGAATACAAACTATCCTTTTACTGCCCAGCTCTCAGAAATTTACAAGATCAACGTCACCATTGCAAAGCAAAGCAATTACTTCCCACTCTTGCCATCTGTCCATGCTGATGGACATGCCTTCTGTCCACCCCTGACTTCTAAATCGTATTTCTCAGCCCTATACCCTCCTTTCTGGAAGCCCCTGACAGGGCTGTTTCCTTGCAATGATATCATGGCAGGTTTCTTCAACATTGATTGAAAACCAGCTAGCACTCACAGCTATCCCTTTTTAATACAATTTGGACAATCTGCAGAATAATTTATTGCCCTTTAGGGTAAGGGTATCAGATTTTGGCCCAGAGATGCTGTGGAACGGATGCAGTATTTTTGTACACTGAGCTCAGTCTGCCTCATAATCACGTTTGGTGAAAAGTTACTGTTCTTAAAATAGTCCCTGCAGTAGCACAGTTGCTATGATACAGGGAAGGGGAGGGGGAAAAAGTTCATTGCCTACATTTCAGCTCATTGGGAAGGCAGCCTATACATAATCATTGGTGTATTAACAGCTGCCTCTGTTACTTGACAGGCAGCCCTTACCTCCCATTGCTGTAAGCAGAGCTCCACCTGGTTTATTTTGTGCTCACAAAGGGGAGAAATACTGGGGGAAGTTCCCTCAGTGTTTTCAAGGTAACTCTGCTTGACACGTTTCTCACATCCTTCAGAAAGGCAGGCTGCTGACAGCTGTGCCACAATAGAGCTGCAGACAGAGACATGAGCTCCTTCAGATCCTGGCCGATGAGAACGTAATGACTAACGGAGTATTGACAAGGAGACAGCCTTGCTGAAGAACTTCTATTGAGGAACATCTGAAACTCAGAGAAGTGATGCTCCTTGTCAGAAATGAGCAGCTTGTGCATAGAGCAAAGTGGACATTCTGCTTTGATTGGCAGTGGTTCCCAACACCGTGGTTTAGAGAAAGTCTGAGGATGGGAGAAAGCACATATCCTGGTACAGAAAGCAGCAGAGTCTTGGGAATTGCAAAGTAACCAGAAGAATCGGGGCTGTGATTTATCTGGGAAAGAATCCCACTGTGTGCCAGACCCGTACCCTGTAAGCTACAGTGAAGCTGCATGGCAGGTTCAGGAGGTTCCAAGGGCAGCTTGGTATTTGCCATGTATGAGCAGAGTGGCATGTATGAGCCACAGATTTGGCTGTGCAGCATGGCTGGGCAGCTGTGTTTTGGGGTTGTGCGAGGAGGCAGGGTGACATAACCTGTTAGGATGACTCATCCCCAAAGCAAGGATGGCACAACTTCACCCTGGGCTGCTCGCAGATTGATGCAAAGTCTGTGCTGGCTCAGTGGCTTGCTCTGAGCCAGCAGTATGGTCCAAAATGCTGCCTGACAGACCTTATGCTGTGAAGCTGGAGCGTGACTTTGTAACTGCATGAAGCAGATCTACAGATTTCTCAGACTAGAGCTTCATCATGGTTCAGACTGATTATGAAAGTGAGCAGTAACCATGCATCTAGAAGAAGAGTAGAGCCTGATGAAATAGAGAGATTTAAGGATTTACAGCAGTCTTTTTAGCTTAGTACTGCTGCTCTGACAATTGCAACTTACTGCATAAATGAGGACTTAGCCTTGAAACTGCTGCCACTTCAGCTCAGTCCAAGTAGGGCACTAATCATTTACTGAGAATTATTTGGGTCAATTTTTGATACCGGTTAATAAGCTACTTCTGCTGATAATATAATAAAATAACCCTGGAGATTCACAGCACTTTGTGTAAAGAAAAATAACTTGGAGGCTGCTGCAGTGTCCTTCAGCTGACTGTTAGCTGCTCTTCCTTTCTGGGCACAGGGTGGTACTGTAAGCTGGTTTGGTGTTTAGAGGAGCTCTGTGCTTTGCTGTTCTATTTACTGCTGTTTTGCAATGCTCAGACATCCATGATTTCAAATTCATAGGTTATGGGGAAATTCAATACTCCCAGCAGATACAGGGTGTATTTTTTTCTATCAGGTGGTGCTGATATGCTGATAGGACAACTAGTTTGCAGAATGAGAGACAGAAAGAGCTCAAGGGAAAGGCATTAAAAATGTGCCTTCTAAAACTGCCCCTTTTAGAATAAGCTGATGGTTTGATAGGTATTGTAACTTGAACATATTAATCCATGTTAAAATATATCCAATAAAATAATATGATAATTGCTTTAATGCAGTGAAAAAAAAATCCTGTTTAAAATACTCTTTTTTTTTCTGACTCTTCTGTTGCTCGGTTACACGCCAGCATAGCATCACTGCGTGCTGTCCCACAGGCTATTTATAGTCACAGCATTTGTTTCATACAATGGAACTCAATTATTACTTTCAAAGAACATCATTCCTATCTACCAGATTGGTCAAAATCAAAAGGCTGATCTTTCCTCAGTACAATGCTTTCTGCTATTAAGTTTTCAAAGCAAAGAGGATTTTATTTTTTTTAATCTATGTTTACATGGAAAAGGCAATTGGGATGCTGTCCAAAACACACGGAGCTCACTTGGTCTTGCAGAATAGTCACCCAGGTAGCCACCCAGATCCCTTAACCATCTGCTAGGGCTTGGAAACAGTGATACACAGAACCACAGTCCTTTGTGCATATCCATTCAGTGACCTCTACTGAATCTGGCTTGTACTTGGGATGGCTTTAAAATGACACTACTATCAAATGCTTCACTTTTGCACGTGAATGGAAAGCCAGAAAGGCAGCTGAAAAACATCACATTAGTATCATTTTATGAGATTGGGAGTCATGGACTGTACTTTTAAGCTTCCCTGCTGAATGCATCTGTTATGTTTCAGTTTGTATTTGCACCAGTTGTAGCTGACTTTCTTGGCAGTTGGATTTAGCTGGGTTTAGAGCAATTGCATAAAATACATCCACCAGCTCAGACTCACAACATGTATAAATCCAGGCAAGCTGGAACTGCATTCAAGGTGGAAAAAACATCAAAAAATTAAACTGCATGGGCTGCTTGGAACAGGGAGGGATTTAAAAAAAATACAAAAACTAACAGCCTAATACTGATTTTTTTTTTTCTGCTTGTACTTAAGGTTTTCTTTTTTATACGCTTGATTGTTGATCTTTCTTCTTTTGCTTTTTCCTATTGTACAGAAAAAAGATTTTTATCAAAAAAGATGAAGAATTTTTACTTACCCTGTTCCATCATTTCCAGAAGGCCTTTCTTAATGAGTTCATCCCGACCTTGTCGTGCTGTCATTTTCTTCTCCAGCACTGCAAGAAGTAGTAGCATGATACAGCACCAGCTTACAGTGGAGTATTCCATACCTGACTGAGAGCTGCAATGTGGTATTTCTCTCTAGTCTCAAGTGCTGTGTGCTTGGAAAGAAATGCAAGGAATTTTGGGGGAACTTGGACCGGTCAGCCAATTTTGTACTTTTTCCTTTGTTAAAACAGTAAAATCAAGCACGCAGAGTTGAGATTTATGATCTAAGATGCTGCTGATCACCCTGAGAGCAGAATAGCAGTGGTGTTAAAGCCTTGTGCTGTTTGGTACGGTGTATTGGAGCTGCTGCAGGAGGTGGTGTCCCTCACTGTGACACTCCAGAGGGTATCAGAAAAGTGGAGGGAACTGCACCATCTTCTCTGAGGAAAAAGCAGCCAAGTTTGTCTCCTTACTGATCTGAGATACACCCGGTTAGTAGTGAGAGTGTGCAGTGCATGTGCTGGGCTTCTCTACTGCAGGCAGCTGCTTGAGGGAAGGCATTTTGCATGCTGTAGTTCCCTCCTGTCACTTCTCATGATGTTATTGTGACCTATATAATCTTCACCCCAAACAAAAGGGGTGATGATGCTTGGGGACATAAATGTAGTCTATTTGGAGAACGGACACTCCATGAAAGCAGTCTATGTCAAGGTTTGTGCTTCACTCATATTTTTAGCTTTTCTTCTAAATGTATGACATTGTACTATACAGGAAGCCTGCATATATGAGTGTTTTCTAGTTTTAAATGTTATAAATCTATAACATGTAGAGATCTCCAAATTAGATTTAGATCAGGTCATCACTAGTATTTCTGTGCAAGCACATTTCTCCCAAGCTAAGCTTTGCTTCGTGCAGTGTCAGACTGCTCTCATTGTACCTGCAGAGGTCTGCTTTAACTTCTCATTTTTCTTTTTCCGCCACTTCCAGGGTTTGAAGATCCTGCCCAGTGTCGCCAGTTTGCTGTTTCTCCTCACTGGTGGAGTTCTAATCCCTGAGACCAAGTAGTCAGAACGCACTGCAGGAGACTGCTCCATCTCATCTGAGAAGGGAAATGAGAGGAAAGCCAGCAGTTAGACCAAGTGCTTCAGCATAGACTTAAAAAAGGGATGTGAATGGAGGCTCCCCAGCTAACAAGTGTTTGGTCTTGTCTGCTGCTTCCTACCAGTGTCTTTCCAGGCTGTGGACTTTCACAGTACCTGTCTGGATGCCAAATACTTGAGCATCTCCACTGCTGCCTTCTCTCAGGGATCTATCAAGGCTATTAGGTGCGTGGAGAGGAAGATGTGCTAAATTTGTACACCCTATGCCTTATTCCATCTCTTTCCTGACTTTGATTCAGCAAGGGAATGGTGTTCCTCTCTGTCCCAAGGGCTGTGTAACTCTGCATTACAGCCTTTTGAAACATGGAGAGCTGGGTACTCCCAAGAGCTTTAGCAGTAGAAATTTAACACATATGCAAATTGGGCCCACACAGGCTCCAGTTAATCAAACAAATGTAATGTTCATTTAGAAAAATTTAGACCTTTATGAAGAGCTAAAGAGAGTGTGAGAAAGCTCAGTCCTGCCTGAAAACCCAGCTGCCAGCTGCTCTCAGGCCACAGGATATTGCTGTCTTCTACATGAATTCTCTTCACAAAAGCTAACACAGAACACACCGACTTCTATGAGCTAATGCTTTTATATAAGAATAGTTTGATATATGCTACGTAAATAAAATCTTGAAGCTATTGTGCAAATTTATTCCTTGAGGAAGTTAAAGGGAAATTTCTTTCCCTTTCGTCCTGCCAAGCCACAGGAATTCACACATAACATTTTGGCTGGAAAAGCAATTTAAGTATTTTTAATATTTTGTCTTGAAAATGCACTCAAGATTTTGCTGTGTGAAATGATGTACACTGACTGTTCATAGTTGAGTGCTGGCCCATACCATGAAACAAAGTAGCACAGGTCCATAAATGGGGTTATTGATGGCTTCATTAAGATTTGTATTTGAGCACCAGTATAGTGGTTGTTGAATGAGAAGCTGCCATCAGTCATCAGATGTGGTACATAAAGAAAAACTGAATGACAGTTTGTTGTTCAGTAATAACATACGATCTAAATAAGCAACGTGGAGCTATGAACATATGCACATTTCCAAGAAATTTCTCTCTGAAAAAACATTTATTGCAAATTGCTTTATGACTACAAGATAAAAACTATACAGCATCATCTAGGTTTTGTTTTTAAGTTAACGGAGTGAACGTGTTTAAATCACAGTATGGAGGTGGGGATTTCCAAGTAAACAGGAAACAATTTCTGGAAGATTATTAAACCCAGCAGGGGAATGAACACATTCCTCCTCTTCCATTTAATTTTGAAAATACTGGTAATAGAGATGAATCATTCAGTGGAGAAAAATTGAAAACTTGGCCATGGACACTATCAGAACAAAGAAGAGGTTGTAGAAATATTTTTGCCCCTCTCACTGAATGTGTCCTGTGGATTCTCCTTCTATGTAAATTTCTTTTGTCTCATTCACATAACATAGAGTTTATCTTGGGGTTTTAATTTATAATAGATCTGGAAGGTACATATAAACATTTGTTTGTTTTTGAAAGAATGATGTCCAAGATGACAGTTATGGTTTAGTTTGGAGGTCAATTTTAAGAAGCTGAAAACAGAAACTAGCACTGAGCCTAGCACAGAGGGAGGCCAGTAGCCTACAGACCACAGCTAGAGTGCCAAAAGTTATCACACTTATTTCTAATTGCACATTCAAAATTGAGAAGTGTCACGGAAAAAGCTTTGAAGAAATAGAGTTGCTCTTCATTACAGAGATGGCAGTGAGAATGGAAAATGACAGAGTAGATCTGCTATTAATTTGCTATTATGATTACTTTAAGGCTGTAATAGAAGCCTCAGAAAAAAAACATTTGGCCATTGCTTGTGACATCCCTTGAGTGGGAATGGAACTGTTCACAAAATTAGCTCATCTCAGAAGAGCTGTAGATCAGACTAAACCTGATCCTTGTCTTCTGCAGTGGAGCAGGACAGCCTGAGCTCAGCCATCCCTGTCTGTGCTTGTGAGGCTGCAGTGCTTCATGAACATCTCCTGTCATCACATGAATTTCTCGAGCATGTGAGTGAAGATTAAATGAAAAGCTCATGTAAAGCAGTACTTTGGCAAGTTGCTGCTTCTACTGCATTTCATTCAGATGTAGATGCCTGCAAAGTGATTTAGGCATTATCCACGTGTTTTATTGAACACTGGCAGCATGAGATCACTTCATCATTTTTGCCAGATAGCAGGGGATTTAATCAGAACCAGGAAATCATTCAAACCCAAAGCCGTACGTCTATAGCAGTGTTTATTATCCCAGATATTTCCCTAAGAAAGAGAATGGGGAGATATTGCAAAGGCACTAAGCATTCCCTAAATGCTCTGCCACCTCAGTGCTCCCGTCGTTTTCATCAGCCCTGTAAATGTTTTTTTTCCATCCCCTCCTGCCCTTCTGGGACTGGAAATGTGACTATTTATGCTTTAGACTTGTTATAAATGAAATACAGATAAAAACCAAACATTCCAGTGGAGATTTTCGTGTTTTGTTGTTGTTGTTTTGTTTTTCTTAGCTTATTAAAGCTTTCTCATACAATGAGAACAGTTCTTAAGCAAATGGTTTCATCACCTTGTACATTTGCACCATATGCAGTTCCTTCAGTGTACATTTGGAAAAATAGATGAAGGCATAGCAAGTCAGATGTCCTGAAGTCATAAATAACAAGGAAGTGGTCTCACTAGCACTAAGAATCACAAGAAAGTCCTTGGAGTTTCTCATTTCCAGTTAGTTCATTTCTTTGTGCATGTAGGTTGGCTTCTTGTGAAACAAGAAGTTGACAGCACAAAAAGCAGTTCCCACGTACAGCAATGAATGCTGAAGGTGCAGGCGCATCTAAATATCAGCCAGCTCCCACAGCCAACAAGCTGCCAAGACTTGCCAACCCTCCAACCACTCTGTGAAGTATTCAGCACATTTTTTAAACTGCAGTCAGTATTTTAATTATGCTATGTTCTGTGGAATAATGTGGTTATTCCTTCCAGAGCCTGATAGCCTGGGGCCAGGCCATGCAATTACATGGAGGATGTCTGAGAAATATAAACAGCCAAGAATCAAATCAGGGCTCTCTGAATCAGCAGTGTAAATGAGCAACAGCTTAACTTGATGTGCAATGTAGGATGAGGGGCACTTGTTGTACAAGGCTGAGTGAGCATGAGTTTAACCCACACTCAGTCCACATCAGCCCAACTCTACCCAGCACAGGGAGGCTAGGCTCTGCTTGGCTGTTTCTGCTGTGACAGACCAGCTGGCTGCAGCAGTTTGCTCTGACTGGAACTTGTTGGCTTTTTCTATTGAAATTGGTTGAAGTCCCTGCTGTATCCTGTTGAGGGCAAAGGTTTCTGTGCCAGAGATCCACATCCAAAGCTCCTCATGTATCATACACTTTTCATCTGCTTTGTGTGTATCAAAGGGATGGAGATGAATGTGGCTGTGCTGTGTGCTCCTACTGATGTTGAGTCCAACTTATTGTTGTTTTTGTGGGTTTTTTTTTTCTATGATAATCCAAAGATACAGTAGAATTATGCCTGATTACAGCAACTGCAGGCTGATGCGTGGCAGTTGGGCACACCAGGAATGCAGAGCTGAGGTATTCTGAAGGTACTGACCTTGCCATGGAGAAGTGCTGTGAGACTCTTGGGAAATCTTCTTGTGAATGCACAAACTGCACCAAGAAGTTTATGGGAAAGTGAAGGATGATAAATTTTAATATGCTGGGAATTTGGTAACTTCAGTTTGCAGCAAGTTGTGCTTTTCTAAATCCTCTATGTATACTTTTAGGAGAAGGGCTTCTCAAAAATCTGCAACCTGCAGGCAGTTTAAAAATAACACAGCAGACAAGAGCTGCAGGCAAATTTGTAAAGCAGGCGTGCTATGTTTTCTGATGAATTGGTTTGTAATGCAGCTCTCCATGTTTGTCCCTTTGTTGTTACTGCATCCATCTTTGCAACCCAGATAGAGAGTTAAAAAAAGGAAAAAGAGGTTCCCTTTGGTCCTCTCCAGAGGGCAGGGACAGTGAGTGGAATAAAAATTACCTCTTAGCTTTGGGGATAGATGTTTCTTTACCACTGTTAACTTCAGTGCTGCCTAGAATTACTGTCTGCTTCTAGAAACGATGCAAAGGAGAATGCCACAGGGAAAGTCAAGCTTTTAAAGGACTCGTGTCTACTTCTGGTCAGTCCTGAATTGTGCAACCCAGACACCAGAGATCTTAGCCAAGAAACAGCAATTCTCTATGAAGGACACTCTATACAGAAGCTACTTTATATCTACTGAGAGAAGCCTGCGAGAAGGCAGAAAGTTTGTCTTGGTTTTAAAGTAAAATGCCGAGCTTTGGGAGAACAAGCAGCAGGAAGACCCCCTTTTCCTTAGTTCAGCAACCTAAATGCAGACAGAACTGAGCATGATGACTGGGACTACAAGACAGGGGTAAATTGTTTGTCTGGAGCCTTTGGACACTTGTTATGTTCCAGAGAAGCAGAACTCTTACTGAAGAGCTTTTTTATTGCAGTGCTTACGTGTTTCCTGTGATGGAGCTCTTCCTTGTTCTGAAAATGTTTTCTGTCACCCGTGTTTCTGCAGACATGCTTTCTTTCTTAACTCTCTTTGAAAGAAAACTGCAGTGGAATGTTCCAGTTTGAAAGTTTCTATTTCAGTTTTTTGAACATACAGTGTTTTGATTTTCCAATTTGTAATGACTACTAGGAATGAAAATTAGTAATGAGGAAAAAAAGAAGCTTTTTTATAAACCAGAAGCGTATTTAATTCTTGCAGGATTTCACTTGTATTTGGATCTGTGAATGTTTTGGTTATTTTGGAAAAATTTACACTAAATATTTTGTGAAATGAAAAGCCCTGTTCCTGACAGTTTAGTTATTTAGGAAAGACAAGGTACCTATAGTACATTATTAAATGCAATCATAAACTAATTTGGAATACACAA